GATTGTTAAATTTTATATCAGAATTAAAAAAGATTTTTTAAAATTTTTTAAATAAACCAGAGGGTTTGCAAGAATTAAGTATTGTTCTTGGTGAATACGTGCAAAAAAGAATGTAATTGGCGTAGCAAGATTAACCTATGATAGTTTGCTGACTGGCTGATAAAATAAAAAAAAGCAAAAGAGCGGTTATCATATAAATATATTCTAGAATCGTTGTAGTCATCTCCAATAATTGGCATTTACTTAGAATTTTGCAATTTTAGAGAAGTTATTATGACTAAAAGTTCAATTTGATAAGCTTTAAATAAAATAGAATTGTACAATCATACTGCAATCCATGGTTTGCTAAATTAAATTCTTGAAATATGATGATAAAACTATGCGTATATTTTGAAAGAATATCAAAATATCCTAATCATTATGCTGTCCTTTTCGTGATAAAATGATGGGATGGATTAGCTAAAACAATGTTAATACGAATCGAAAGAATAAACAAAGAATGATAAAGCAAATTGATTTAGATAAGTTTTTAGGAACATTGGATAGGTGAAAATTTTTCCAGACATTAAAGCCAAGGTGAGACATGGACAAAAAAGTTTACTTGGATTAGTGATCAAAGGAGACACTAATACCCAGCTAATTAATTTAATACAGAAAATGTTTCTCAGCATATAGTGGTCATCAAAACTTGTATTGCTCCCATATTATTTTAACACTTAAAAAAGAACCACTTGCAAACTCCCGCTTGCTAAAATTATCGCCAACTCATACATAGCTTTACTCAAAATTATATAAAGAATATTACATAAAGCTAAGGGCTTTTACTCGAAAACATATTCCAAAGTGGCCATATCGGGGATTAAAAAGGTAAGCATCAAAGTGTGGGTAAAAAGCGTCTCAAGAATACAAGCTGCCCTAGTTAAGTGGGAAATGCTCTTATATTAATTGGCAGGTTCCGAAATCTGCATTTTACAAAGTAATAGATGATAAAGAAATTCAAATCTACCCACCAAGAGCACAAATTCTCTTGGCCTAGTTCTTTACTGGGAATGCTGCTAGTGCGCGGTAAAATCAGTCTGCTTCTTTCCTTTTCTATTCCACAAATTCTTAAATTCCATTCTCCTATTTATGCTTTAAATTATAAAAATTGTTATGTAATTAGAGGTCATATCAAGCTTTTATAAAGTCTTTTTTGAATTCAGCTATTTCTAATTCATGACGCATCTAAAACTATAAAACTGCAAAATTTGAAGGCATACATTGCCGGCCTTTTACTTAATGTACATACTAATATAATAACTCAGTCATAAAGCTGTCGACTTGGTAATGTTTCCTGGCCAGATGCATTAAAAATAACTGCAGTATTCTCTAAGAAACATTAAATTCTGCTAGTTTAAGTTGATATCTAAAGTATATTCCGACTCTAAGTTTAAGAAACGATTTGGTAGTTTTATTTCTAATTCAGAAACGGTGACGTCAAACTCTGAAAATACCTTAAGAATAGCAAAAACTTAAGTAGAATAATAGAAATACATAATGACGTTATATTGTGTAACTCAATACATCCATGACTTTGCATGAAAGGATTGAGAAGATAAAGCTTGCTTATACTAGCAGATGTTATGAGAAAGTAAATTTGGAAGATCAAGATTAATGAGGTAGCAGCGGAAAGTAGGCGCTGAAAAGTTACGCCATTATCGATTTGGAGATGGGATAGATTGCCTTAATGAGTAGTCTAAATAGCTGATATTATTTTTACTATATCAACATTCCCTCTAAAGAAACTAAGACAATGCTATTTATTGGGATAAAGCTTAGAGGAAATTTTATTATTGGATTATAATGGCTTAAAAGCGGCATATAACTTGTACTAATGGCACATTTTGTGATACCTATACAAGGGGCTCAAAACATGAGATATGTATTAAGACTTATTTCAAGTAATGAAGGCATGCCATTCGACTCAGTAAAAAAATAATTATTGGAGGCAATACTTTGTAAATAGAACAAATGTATGCTACGTTTCTTGCATTCATTTGCTCTTGTGCTGATTTAAACTACGCTGCTATTTCATGGAAAAACAAATCGCTGAAATAAATATAATAACGAATATATTGGGCAAATTCATTTATGCGATCAGGTCATCTGAGAATCTTTTATCTAGGTAGTCTTTAAGAGTCATCAGTTGCAATTAGATCTGACTAGCCAGTAGTTGAAAAAGTAGAAAAGTATCAGGCTTAGCATATCCTTAAAGCAGGTGCAATAAGGCGTGGGACGATAAATTTTAAAAATATCTTGATCATTCATTGGAATTACGAGAAGCATTCGAGTTGCAAACTTCAAAATATCCACATTGCATTGAAACAGAAAAGTAGTCGCTTGAAAAAGAGATCTTTTGCAGTGAAGGCTCAAGAAAGCCAACATTTCTGGGTGGACGAGATTTTTAGTGGCTTATTCTTTCTCATATAATATAGATAAATAGTTCGTCTGCCAATGCAGCGAATAGAAATCATCCCAAAAGATGATAAGACAAATATGTATGAAGTGCTTCTTTGTTTCAACTTCATAAAGAAAAAATGAAATAGTACCTTAGTAGTGCCGAAAAATTTCCACATTATAGAAACTTTAAAATCAGGTATTCTTATGAAAAGCTACATCAACTCGCTTTGTCTATCAAGGATAATGTTTAAATGTTAAACATCTAATATATAAATAAAATTTATCAAAATAACATAATAAAATGTGACAAGTTAAGGAATGTATTCTATCTCCATATGCAATCAGTTACGGCGAAGCCCGACAACGTTAAGAGAGTTGAAAAAATGAGTTTGCCCATCTAACTTCAAGACAAGACTTTTTCAGCATTGCATAATTTAATTTGATATTTCGATTTCGTATTTTTGAGAAAAGTTATTTAATTGTAACTTTTAGCATTTAGCTTTGGCTACTTCACTAAACATGAAAATGTATGAAATGGCCACTAAAATCGTAAGTAACAAGAAAATAAAGCTTTTTCAAAACAATGTTCAGTAGTATTGAATATCTAATTATAGTAATGAGCCAGTACAACATTCGCAAGATTTTGCCTTATCTTGACTAGAAATCAACATCTGTATTAAAACGTCTTAAAAGTTATGTACCGGAAGACTTAGAGATTGTACTGTCTTGAATACACTTACAATAAAGGTATAATGCAAAACACTTAGTGGCCAGAAGAGTGAGCAATGAGATTAAGGGAAAACTCTATTAGACCATGAAATATACGGTTATATGCCAGGAACTGGAAGCTTCAGGAGGTTAGCACGAATAAAAGCCAGTAGAGTTCAAGATTAGTAAGGATATCCAGAATTTCAGTTAGAAAGCGAGGAGGCGAAAGATTTTTAGTCCATTTTTAAAGGTCCGCCAACACATAGCTTAGTCAAAACTTTCAATTGCAATTGCAATTGCAAATTTTTACCGTTTATCATCTGACTAAGTGAATCGACCAACAATTCTAGATTTATCTATGATATTAGCAAGTTTTGAAATAAGGGAACTTGTCGAAATGAGAAAAATATCAAAAAGGGTGTTATGCTTAACAGAGGGCTTTCTAGTGTACAACTCACGCGTTTGCCAATTCTGCAGAGAAAGACCATTAAGTTGTTTTCGGTAGGAGATTTTATGACCCTTATAGAAAATTAACTGCACTCCAGCTATCATATTTGCAAAATGCATTCTTTAATAACATTTATTTTATGCAATAGTGATCCTAATGTGCATTATATATTATATTCTTTAAATATATTGAAAATCCGAGTAGCCTGGCCAACTTAGTGAATAGAAATGAATATTCGCTTGAGAAAAAAGTCTTATGAAGTTGACGTGGCCTAGTCTATTACTTAAGATAAAAATATAGGATATTACAACTATTTGTGAGTTAATCAGGGAGATTTGTAATGAAGCAAAACTTTTAGACTTATCTGACTTACATTGTAGAAATGCAGAGTAACTGGGTTTCGATGTATCTCCTGGGATAGCACTATTGCTGAAACTTTGATTTCGTATGAAAGTGTATGAAGAAGAGATTCGAAAGTCGATCTCACCAGAAGTGGACGATTGAATCCCGTCGTACTGCGTCAATCTCAACGTCATATAAAAGCCAAAAGGCTGCAGTACAACGAGATTCAACGGTCCCATTCAGGTAAGATCAACCTTCGAATCTCTTCTTCATATACTTTTATACAAAATGAGAGAAACTACGCTTCAAAAAACTATCCAAAAGTCTTCTTTATGGTGTCCTCCCAATTGACTACAAAGAGGCGGCAAATCAATAATCTTTCTACCCACCTTTAGAGAAAAGACATTAATTAGCCAGCAAGACTACTCTTGGATCCGAAAGGCACCGCTGATTGCCACTTCACCAGCCTGGGATAGCAACCCTACATTCACCCATTTCAAACTGTTTTATTAAATCATTCTATCCGTGTTATCTGTCGCTTATGGTAAGAAGGAAAAGGCCAGTTACTTTATCTAAAGGAGATGTCCTGTAATAGTTACTGATAATAAGTCAAGGATCCACGAAAAGTGTTGTAAAAGTTCTGAATCAGAATTTGCATACTCGTAAAATGATTGAAGGGTACTCATCTCAAGCTTAGTTATAGGCATAATTTTTAGTCTCGCTACGAATCATACCATTACTCATTTGAAATAAATCGGTAGTCCCCAGAATGAAAGACATAGCCAAACTAAGATGATAAGTCAGTTAAAGTGATATAAGTGAGAAGGTTACTAAAGATTCCTTACTATTAGTGCCCAAATAAGGGGCTATACCAACGAGTCAAATATGCATCAAAAAAAATGATTTGACTTGCTTTATATATATATATATATGCTTAAATGTGGTTTTAAGACAAGAGAGCAAAATAAGAAGTAATTTCGTGGTACCTTATAAGCCAATATTAGGTAACCTCAAAAAGGCATGAATAAATTAATAACTGATTCTAGGAAGAGTAATGGTGGCATTACACTCTAGACCCAATACGGGTTTGATGCAGGAATCTATCAGCTTCGTAAGCACCGTAAAAAGCGAAGTGGATTGATGACTGATTTACAGGTCGATGAAAAACAGCGTTTAACTTGCATGCAAATATGTGATGATCATAACGAGTCCTATAACCGGGTTCCACGCTGGCTGACGGCATTCTGGAAGCAGAAACCGGATCGAGAATTGGGGATCGAGCTCGTTTACGCTTAATCTCTTCGAGTTCTTGGAGAAGGGCCTGGGAAAACAAGTAAAGGAAGAGAATACATAAATGCTAACATATCGATTACGTAAATCGATCAATATGGAGGGGAAAAGGAAGCAAATAATTAACAATGTATGTTTGTGGCGGTCTCGGCCAAGAAGTAGAATACATTCTCAAGCAGATATATTGTTAATTAAATATATAAAACTATATAAATTCACCCAAATTTATGGACGTCTCTATTTGCAAAGTTATTTAAGGCACATGTAAGAAAAATTAAAAATAAGTTTGACTTATGGATTCAACCCGATCGACCAATCTAAAGTGATGGAACAATTCCAAGGGAACTATTATAGTTTTGCAGGAAGTAATATCTAACAATCTAAGTTAGCGTTTCTACAATGAAACAATGGGAAAAGAAAGAAATAGAAACGTCAGCTTAACTTTTATCTTTTTGAGAAAATTCAATTAACAACTCTTGATCACCTCAACCGAAATGGGATGAATACATCTGATATAAAGAAAAACTAACCTTATTATTCGGAGAAAGATATCATCATTCATAGCTTAGTGACAAGTACGATAATCATTAATTTCACTTTTGCAAGCCGTGATATTGTCAGGGCCAAA